CTTCTGCAAATATTAAACGTATTAATTTGACGGCGAATGACGAATCCGACGGTAGAATGGGGTTCAGATGAAATGAGGTGTGAATATTGTCTCAGTGGGATACCAGTCCTCGGGTATTCGGTCCACATGGGGGCCTGGACCCAGCTGTTGCTAAATGGGCTAGTACTACCCTTTATATTGCAACAATGCCCTTCAATGTGCAGGTACCGACGTTGTATCACTAATTGTTTTATTTGTCGATTTTGCAGGACTTCTTGACGCGTGACGATGCCTGTAGATTTTGTTTTGAGTTATTGTATTTTTTTTGTAAATACGTAAATTTATCTTTTATTAGTAATGGTGTGTAATATTTTACATTTCAATGCAATACATTTTGTACTATTTGTACGCGTCTAATTCATTATAAATTATTTCTCAGAACAAAATAAGTATAGACGGCCATACATGACCACAATATTTCTGTAGATAATAATCTACATTATCATTTTAGTTTTTATTCTTTCTCTATTTTCAGTGTATCTGTTGTTGGTACTGCACACACTAACGTTAGCTTTGCGGCGTGGACCGCACCACCCTTCGGGCCAGCCAGTCGAGCAGCATCACCATCATTACAAGCCCAGGGGTTCCGAGTCCCTTACCGGTGACATACAGTTGCTACATGACACTAAGTAAGAGTTATTAAATTAACAGGAGTTAAAATGCCGCCGACTGAAGGCAATATTATGCCTTATAATATCGTACTGCTATTGCAATAGTGTTATAACTCAAAATATATGAAATTCAAGATTATACCATTTTTAAACGTAAAATTTGATTCTCTACGCGTCAATAAAACCATCGTTAGAATATTGTAAAAAACAACTAAACGATATCTACTTAACTCAAAAAGAGACAGGCTTAATGTGAGCTTGTTCTGACAAAATAGTGCTTATTCAAAAATATGAAATTATTTTTTCTCTTTTATTACCTATACATAAATTTACACAGATCTTTCAAGAGAAGCGAGTAATTCGTCTTTCGGCGACTACAAGAAAATACACTTTTTGAGTTAATACACTATTGTATTAACAGTACGATATGTTATTGAAGTTGTTTTTGTATTTTTTTCATCTATACTGCTTGCCAACAGCTTAAAACAAAAGACAGCTTGGTGACATCGATATTCTAACTTCTCTAACGTCTCGTCGTGTAAACCACTGTTTTAAAAACTTAACTGATAACCCAATGTGTCCAATATTTTCATTAATAGTTTAATCGATAATCTGTTACGAGTTATAGCAGCACCAACAAGTTCCTATAAAATACTTGCGCATTGAAAGGCAAATAGAATATTAATCTGGAGACGGGACCTATTTGAGTGATGATTGCAGTGAAGAAAATAAACAATTGGAGCTTCTTCATGCAAAATGTTTTTATCCAGTTCACCATATAAGGAACAAATACCCCGCTTATAGAAAAATATAATAAGTCTAGTGTGATATTTCTTATATTCCTAGAAAGTCATGAAATAAAAAATTATATTTGCCTATAAAATAACACATAGAACATTTCAGACACATAGAAGAAGACTCGCAAGTGTTAACTCGAGAAATGGTATCAAGAATGTCACCAGAGGAATTAGAGTTCCATTACTTCTCATCGCATGACTTTGACCGGAATTCAAAGTTGGATGGCTTAGAAATGTTAAAGGTACATTTGATATTTGTATCGTTAATGAATTCAACTCTTCTATAAATTATTCGAATACAAATGAAAATGTTACAATAAAAATTGCGACGCAAATAAGCGTACGAACTTAAATCTGAGTTACTGGAATAAGGTTCTAGGATTCCCAAAAATCATGGCGGACATGGTGTCAAGCGTTCTCGTATTCACTCTTTCGTTACTGCTCCTACAGTACTTTGACTCACTTGGTCGAAACACCTGCTGCAAGCTTTCAGACGTAAGGATCAATTTACATTGCCGCGAATTTTTGTAACCATGATGAACTTTATGTTAATTGTATAAATAAATGGTTAGCCTACATATAGTCCTACTGCTGGGCAAAGGTGTTCTTCACACCGAGAGGGATTGGGCTGTAGTTTCCATGCGATGTGCAGATGTGTGCAGGTTTGATTACGATGTTTTCCTTCACCGAAAAGCTCATGGAAAATTTCAAATAAATTTTGCACATAAATTCCGAAAAACTCAAAGGTGCAAGCAAACCGGGATTCGAACTGACGACCCTCTGTATGGAAGGTGGTAGTTCAAACCATTAGGCCATTATAATGTATGTCAATTGTGTGATGTATAAATTAGATACTAGCCTCAAAGACTAGTCGCGCGTCTTCCGGAGAATTCTCGCGCAGGGTCGGGAGTTTCCACAGCTACTGCTACTGGATACGGTATATCTACTTTGTACGTTACACTATAAACTATGAAGTTCGTTATACTATGTGCAATAAATTACAAAAATTATTTAGTAAGAACGCAGAACGTATGTGTGAAATCCTAGCGAGTATTATGAATTGAAGAAAGAATAGAAATATGCCAAGATTGTGACACGCGTATATTGTCTCTGTCTATGCTACTGAGAGATCGTGATAGATGACGTAAATGTATTATGTAACGTAATGTTGCAGGCAGTATATCACACTATGGAACATGAAGGTCCAGATCCGGATTCAGACGTTTCTATTGAGCCTGAAGCTTCTAGTAATGATTTAGAAAAGTTCATAGGTGAGATTATGCAATTTACGTACTAGTCGTACTATAAGATACGCTAATTGCATGTGGCAAAAGTGTTCTCTAATTTAATTTTTAAAACAATGGTACGTTTCCTCATTATTATACTTTTTTTATAATTTTCAGCCATAGTAGATCGTACCCTCGATTCCGATGATGCAGACGACGATGGTTTCGTATCATACGTGGAATATAGAGCGGCGCGCATCAATTATCCTTTGGAGAGAACACCGAGAGTTGTGGCTGCTGTGTCACCATAACACGTGGTACTGAGAAAACCCGCTACCAAGCTCTAGTTGTCCAAATTCCTAGGAGCTGCTGTTGAGTGTAATATAATCCAATGAGCACAGGTCTTTCTGGAGCCATTTAATATCGATTGGTACCTACAGGTGGTGGTAGATTGACTTCTAAATCAATATTGGCTTCTCCATGGCCGTTAGCTGATGTCCGTATAAATCTTTAGCTAGGATTGCTCTGAACCGGTGGAACTGAGTATTTTTGTGTGTTTAGAAGTGCGTTAAAAAGTTGCATTGCTGGTGATAATCATTTGTAATGATATTATGATCTTTCACTACCATTATATGATTTTATTTTAATTAAATTGCTTCACTAGAATGAAACTATTTTTCGGATCTAAATCGCGTGTAATTGCTTTTTCAAAGAAACCAGTACGCTGTGACCAAGGCACCTGTAGAGGGGTCAAAACGTTGGCTTGTTTGAAAAAACACATATACGTTAGTTAGATCCGAAAAAATAGATTCATTTCCTATGTGTAACAATCGCGAAAACCTAAGAACTCGATATTATTTTACAAATTTCTTATTATTATTAGTACAATGAATGAACACAAAGAAAAATTCCCTCGATCTGACAGGACTCGAACATGTCAGTCTAGAGGAACCGCTTTACCAACTGATTTACAGAATCTTTCTATGCATTTGTTACAGATCTTTCTGTTTTGGTTTTAACAGCTTTTTTGCCATAACGCCATTTTTCATTGATGTGAGAAGTGTATGAAAAATTTTCTTCACTCAACCAGATACCTTGACAGTTACAAGAGGTTGAAAATATTTAGTGACTGACCATGAAAGTCTTAAATTCTATATTTATTCGACGATTTATAAATTTAGTTGAAATATTGGCACCACACCACACCACCACATAAAAATCTGTAATAACCTATTTGCGTTTGACTCCAGTGCGAGAGGTCCGCGAACAATTCCAATAACATATAACACTTCAAATGCGTGCAAAGTCAATCCGAATACGGTCCGGTCAGTAAGCATGGCAAAAACCCTCTCCTTCGATGACAATTGTGCCCAGTAGTGCGTATTTTATGGGGTGATACAGTTATTGCAAATAAAAATACCACCTTAGGCCAGACCGCACTAGAGACAACTTTAGGAATTGGTTATTTGTAGTAATATAATGTGTAATAAAATTATTCCTATCCGTATTATAATTACTGTAGATGTGCACATACATAGTTATTGTATTTTTTAAATATTTTTGTTTTATATTTTACCTATTATACTTTTAAATTAACCCGTTCATAGACAGTAACAGAGTTTACAGTAATTTAAATATTAGAATATGATAATACGTGGTACAAAAGTAAACCAACTTCAAAAGTTTGTGGAATTACATCTATTTGTCTAGTTTCATTGAAAACGGTTAACCGAAAGTGGTTGAAATCCAATAAACCTGATTTATTCCCTAATTTGCTACCCTTAGAGGTGGAATATTTTCTTCAAATCTAAACGGGACCAAATGTGAGGTACCCAAATGCCGTAACATACACACAAAAAAATATAGTCGAATTGAGGTACTCCTTCTTTTTTTATGAAGTCGGTTAAAAACTAATTACTGCTTTACTGTGCGATTTCCAAGAGCTTTCTGTGTAGTTGCCGCTTACTGCTTCTCCGTAGAGATCAACAACGTACTGACAATATTCAATGATTTTTCGTTGAAATTTTTGAATCAATTATAAGCACTACGTACGGCACAAAAAAGTAGTAACATTTTTGTACTCTGTAAGTAATGACCATGAACTGGTTAAATGTATTTTAACTTACAATGTAACCATGGCACTAACTGTAAATAATGGACAATAAATTTTAATGTGTCTCTTCAATTCTTTATTCATTTCTTACATAGGATCTAAGGCTGGTTTCAGATAAATGTAATTTTTGCTGACTATTATTAAAGGTCCATTCAACCGTGTCCGTGACAAAATTGAAGTATGTATATAACTGCTTTATTGCAATTAAAACAATAGATACACAGATAATTTAATTCAATTCGGTGAAATGTGATCTGAAACGAGTCTTAATTTACATTAATTTATAAAATTTGAGCATAGATTACAAACTAGTGAACAACACTTTTTAACCAGTGTTAGACAGGGTAATGGAAACACGTAACACAGGCTCTGTACTCTCGTCCTCCGTCCGACATTCGAGTAATACTCAATTAAATTAAAAACGCACGATGCGAATGAAGCTTCATACTTGACATTGTCTTTTGACTTGGTAAATAAAGTATTACTTATTCGACATTAAGCGCCCAGTTACACGAGAAAAATATTATCGCGAGGCCGACCGCCCAGTTACCACGCCTTCTAAATGTACATTAATGGGAATCTGAATTCTGTTTATTATGCAACAACATTTAAATTCCTCTCAATAAAACTACCGCGCGGCCGCCGCCCGACCGCCGCGTAGACCAAATTCAAGCCAGGCTAGCCCGCGTGCCCGGAACGCTCATTTAAATTCAAACGTAAAGGCTAAACAAATAGAGCGTATTTTGCCATGACAGTTAGAAACACGCAGTCGCTGCGCGGCGGCAACGCGGACTCCGCTCTTCGACCGCGCGGCGGCCGCGCGGGGTGAGCGCCGTGAAATTCGTGTCGAATAATTGCGCCCTAATTGTTTCGGACAAATGCACATTTCCACTTCCCCCTGTCGACAATTTACTTACAACTTGTCATAACAAAAATATTTGTTCTAATTCATATACAATTTTTTTTTCAGCTCTTTTACAACGTGAAGACATTGAAATGATAATAATTGAAGCTAATCTTTCATAGAAGAAAACATTTTTGTTTTTGTTATTCGCCGCATCGGTAGCGTGTTTCACATGAGTTTCCGCTTTCGCCCCACTCCGCTGCTTCTTTAATACTTCTTGAGACTTCTTCATAGGGTTCTAATTCTAGACTTTTCCTGCGAAATATATGTACAAAACAATTGATTTCATTAACGAGTTTTATAAACATTGATAAGATTCGTGAGTTTTATAAACGTTTCGTACATTTCGTTTCATTTTTGTACACGTTGCACTGACCCCAAAGTAAATTAAGGCATTTGTGTTATGGCAATCGGAAATAACGACGGTACCATAAAACCCAGCCCTGATATAATACAGAAAAGTCAGTTTTCTGTATTAACCCGGCCGGGGACCGAACCCAGGGCTTCAGAGATGACGATACCATGAAAATTGGTGTGCAAGCCACTCGAGCACGTAGGTTGTCGACATATGAAATAGACTAAAACAAACGAGTTTGTTATAATTATTAATACAAAGATCGAACACTCAGAAAAAATTTCTTCGATCCGCCCGGATTCGAACCGACATCTTCTAGCTTACCGTGCCAGACGCTATGCTAACTAAGCGACATCTCTCGCCAGGGCTGGTAACTGTAAAGATATCTAACTGGGTGGTAAAACTTTCATAGATTTCTCATAGATGGCGCTACGGCTTAAAAAGTCGTTGAAAAAACCAAAAAAAAAACGAAAAATTCGTGAGGTCTGCTGGTTCGTTCCGTTGCTTAGTTGGTATAGCGTCTGGTACGGTAAACTAGAAGATGTCGGTTCGAATCCAGCCGGATCGAAGGAATTTATTATTTTACCTGTAATTTCACCAGCACCCTTAGCCTTCAAGACCGGAACGCAGTATTACACACATTACGGCTTGACAGCAGAAATAAGTAAGGTGGCAGTACTTCCCTGGACTAACTCTTTGACAAGGAGTTCTACGGTTACTAAATCTATTTACTAAGAATAACAATCTATTCAAGATTAGAACGAATAGACTTTTTTGAACAAACGTGTATCGTCATATCGTCGCTTAACCCGTTGATGAACAGTAACGGCGTTTACTGTAAAATTAAATATCAGAATATGTAGTACGGGGTAGTTTCCCTGTAAGAATCTCAAAAACCAATTACACGCTTTACAGTGCGATTTGCAAGTGCTTTCTTTGTAGTTGCCACATACAACTTCTCCGCAGAGAAGTATCAACAACGTATACGCAAAATTAATGAATTTTTTTGAATTTTATTGAAAATAACATTTATAACGCGGGAAATCTTCCACCTTACCATAGTGACTCCACCTGGTTTGGAAGGGAGAAACTTTTTCTTCGGCTGGCGTCACAGCTCGCCGCCAAAGATCGGGATGAAAACAAAACATGGCGCAAGCACACATTTTCGATTATGCACAACTTTCGTATATTCTATATTAAATGTTTGTCATGAGTGCCAAAAGTGAAATAAATACTGGCATATTAATACTCAAATTTTTTCTCACACAAAGCCACGGAAACAGAAACTATGACGGAAATAACACCCACCACGAATTTGATATTGAATCAATATTAATACACTACGGCATGAAAGGTAACTTTTTGTTAATGACTACGTACTGTCCATGAACGGGTTAACATCAAAGGATATTGTGTGCGTCTATTTTATTTAAACATATATATATAGTCTCTATCTACCCGATGCGAAAAGGGCGTCAAATATTGTATTCAAGTTATACGTATATTTACTAACTTACTTTGCTAGCATTTATATTATTAAAATTGCTTTGCATCAGTTTTATATATTGATGAAGAAAACATAATAATTAATACATAAATAAAAAAATTATAATTATTATGTAAATGCTCGCTAAGCTGCTGAAAAAATATGGTCTCTGGAAAGCCAATTGTATGAAAATCTTGAATTTATTTAACATACTCGTAAAGATATTTGATCCAAGCAAACTTCTATTAAAACATATCATAGGCATTCCATTGATAAACATGGAGGATGTACCATATAAACACGACGTATTTACGTACTTGATGTATTTAAGTTACCTCATATAAAAAACCAAGGACAAAAATAATTAAGTCGTTGATTATTTCCGTTGATATTATAAAAAATAATGATTTAAATTAAGTATTTAAAAAATATATATGTTCGTGGGTTAAGGGAAAGTTAAGTTAATTATATTTTAAGATTCAACCATGTAAACAAACGTTTTATTTTCATGGTTTTAAAATAAATAACGTTGAAAAATTTTGCATAGATGTAATAAGAATTAGGTTGTAATAGTTACCCTTGTATAAGTTGAACGCCCTGCAGGAGCAACTCAGCACCCGAAGAATACAAAGAGGCCTGGTGAGGCCTTTTGCAGGAAAGCTTGTATAGACAGCCAAAGTCGTTGTTCTGCTGGCCTGCTAGGTAGCTTAAGTACAACATCACCTCGTCTTCGGATATGAACGTGGCGTTTTTATTATCTGTAACGGAATGGCTTGTATTAAAGTTGCTTTGTGTGTATTCATTTTGCCAGGATCGTTAGAACTCCGTGCGCTTAATATACGACGAACTGTTATAGAGGAAAGAACAAGTAAGATAGGCATTATTGTTAAGTTGACACCATTCCCCTTTTTTGAGTACTATCTTCTATCGGAAGTTCATAAACAATATGGCTGCCTGGATGTGACGCTGACGCAGCTGTTTCACGAGAAAATGTTGGAATGCTGTGGTAGTGCAGTAGCAATGTTTTTTCAAAAGTCGTATGGATAATTTTACTTTTTTTATTTTGGGTCTAATTTGAAAATAAAAAAATAGCTGACTGTTATTCATTTGTTTTAATTTCGTACAAATACAGTTTTGTCGAGTGGTTCGACGTTCATTTTGCTTTCTTGTAAATTTCGTTAGCTTTAGCTGATAATTTTTTTTTCATAGTTTGTTTTAATCAAAGTTAAACTGTTACAATTTTAAAATTATCAGCTGTTACTTTTTCAAAAAATTAAAAAAATGATAAAAATGTTAAATTTTTATTACTTTTTTAAAACTGCCTCCGTGGCCGAACGGTTACCATGCCGGACTGCCACGCAGAGGTCCCAGGTTCGATTCCCGGGCGGGAGAAATATTTGTATGGCCTACATTTATTTCTCTCGTGAGTTTGGGTGTAATTTGTGGTTGTCATTGTGTGTCCATGGCACCCGCGACACAGGGTTTCCCTTGTGCGGGGCTATGTCGAGTGTGTGCGTTATTATTATTATTATTATTATTGAATGTCAGAATTTTTCGTGAAATTACTCCTTACATGATATTAATCAATGATCCAATAAAATTTATATTACAGTTAATAGCAACATCTCTAGCCAGGACTGGTAGTAGTAAAGATAAACCTAACCTAACCTAACCGTGTGACGAAATACTGTCATAGATTTCTCATAGATGGCTAAAAAGTCGTTGAAAACCAGATCCGACCACAATCACAGAGAAATGTGTGAGTTCCGCTGGTTCGTTCTGTAGCTTAGTTGGATAGCGTCTGGCACAGTTTGCTAGGAATACGGCTGGATCGAAGTAATTTTTTCTAAGTGTTCGATCTTTGTATTAATCATTATATCAAAAATGTTTAATGTTGATGTTTTCAATGAAGATTGAGTAAGGTTGTATTAACATGATGTTAAAAGATGTGAATGTAAATGCCACTTTATCTCTAGTTCTTATTTATTTAAATATAAATGTTACTAAGTATTTTATATATTTTATATTCTCACTTTTTCTTTGTTTCGGTAAATGCGCCGATATGTGTAGTTAAAGCATGTCACATACGGTAAATATACTATAACAAACTTATGTCATAATATCGACGACCATGCATTCAATAGACCATACAGAGTCTAATAATAATAATATATGTACAGTATATACGTATAGACAAGTATATAGTATCGTCAGATACAGTTTTTTCGAATTATACTTATGTACATATATTGATATAGTACTCATTCATATACTTTATCATCCTCACCGTCTGTAACAGGCTTAAACCGCAAAGCTAAACAGATCCATCCATCATTACTTATTTAACCCGTCGGATACCCGTTGGTCATTTTAAGCTCAACTACGGCGGATTATCCCCTGCCAATGAGATTAAGTTCTCACCTCTACTGGACACGAAAACAGCATCATCGAAGTTTTTAGACGTATTGGATTAAATGGGGTCAATAGTGAATACAGTTACGGTGTGTTCATATTTATTTTATTCAAGCTCACGTTTGGTTTAAAATTCTCAAGAACATGTGGAAGAGTATGGCACACGTTCGCAAAGATACTATGTGAATTTATTAAGAAATGTATGTATTTATACAATTCTATTATAACATTCTAACGACCAGTGTACATTATAATTAAATATTTTAAATTTTGCATTTATATTTTGCACTATATATTCTAAATAATTTTTTTATATAAAAAACGGTAGTGCTTAGTACTTGAATTATGTAATTATAATATTTAGTTTAGTTTATTTATAATTATAATATTCTATGAAACATTTCAAGAATAAAGATTAGCAGACCTTAGTTTAATTGAAGTTAGCTTAATAGGATTGTTCTTACCAACTGTTTGTACCAAATCTAAAATTTTAGTAATGTATGAATTCCTCTTGCAATAAATATGCGTAAAAATGTTATATCTTACTATATACAAGGTGAAGTATTGGTCAGTTCGGCACGTTAGTACAATGTGAGGGGTTAAAAGCAGATGTGTCGCCTGATAATCAGATGGACTATTTTTTGCTCTTACCTGCGTTTCCTGATCATTGTTGATTATTTTCATTACTTTGTTTATAATGAAATTTATTACTTTGTTACGAAATGTGGTTGCTATGTTCTATAACTGAGAGAGGCCGTAGACCGAGAAATTCATGACTACAACCAAATAATGGAGGATCACTTCTTCTTCGTTAATATGTGAGAATTGGTTCAAGAGAGCAAATTTATTAAAGTGTTGTTGAAAATTTCGTACCATCAAGGCTTCTAGCGTAATGATGGCCTTTCCATGCTCCGGCGCCAAAGAAGCCTGCAGCCAGGATGAGCGCCTTCAGAACTATCAGGATTACTAAGTTCGTTAGGTTCAGACTTAACACCTGCAATATTTAAATATCTTTGTTAGGAAATACTGTAAGTGAGTTAGTAAGTTCCCACTACTACGATACGAGGTATTTACTATTGTATAATTGAATAGGGTGATTTGCATTAATCATGTCATCACATATATTTCATATCATCAGATATATTTTCATTAATCATAGATATCAGTCAGCCGTGATCATGGGACCTGTATAGGGGCCGAAACGTATGTTCGTTTGAAAAAATAAGTATTCGCGATTTATATATTATATGCGATATTATTAATCCACTTAAAATACCAGTCTCATTTTAACTAATTATCATTGCTGCTAAATGAAACATTATATCACGCACCCATATACACACAGCTACACATACTCACACCCGAATTAAATGATAAGTTTGAAATAATGGTTCTTCTATAACACTTATACGCTCCTATTTATTTTTATCACTGGCACACTACGTCTCCCTCTCTGTTCAGTTCTCCTCCGCCTCAAAGGTTGTCTGGAAGAGATCGCTCTCAGCGACAAGGCCGCCTTTAGTTCTAAGTTGTCTATGTAGTGATTTTGTTTTGTGTGTGAGCAATAAAGCTAATCTATCTATCAATCTATCTGCTATAATAAGATTTCGATTGATGTACAAAATGTATCATTCACGTGGTTCAAACCCATATACACACAGCTATACACACATACTCGCACTCGAATTAAGTGCTGTTTGAATTAATGTTTCTTTTTCATAGTTTTTTTTATTTTTTTTCCCATAATATTCATCAATATGTTTTTTATATAAGTGTTTGTTATTAATTATATTCTTCATCAGCCCTCAATGACATGTTTCCTTCCGCCCCCCACTCAAGACCACAGGGTAATAATAATAAATAGGGAGAGGCTGAAAAACAGCGCTGCGCGGTCTTGTAACCGTGTCGGCTGAGCTTCTGCCTTTTGTCTTAAATTATTTCTTTTTGTATTTGTTTAAATTAGATTTTAACAAAATACTGTACGAGACTATAAATAATATTATTATTATTAAATATAAATTTTCGGATCCCTGACTTGAGACAGGATAGATTCTCCATACAAACTTTAATCCCCTTCTTATCCCCTTTAATATTTATTTTTGTGACAAGAAGTAGCCTGTGTTCTTGTCCTAGGTCCCATCTATTTCTATGTCAAAATTCATCAATATTGGTTTAGCGGTTTAGGCGTCAATACGTAACAGAGTTACTTTCGAATTAATAATATTAGTTTGAATATATTATAGGATATATATATTGATGACTGATTTATTTACGTTAATATGTAAGTATGTAAATATACGTACCTAGAATCTTTACAGTTTTAATAAGAATGGGATAATACTTACAAATGTGAATCATGAGTCCGGCCTCAAGGAGTTTTCTTTTACTCGTGACTCAATCTCTTATCTTACCTACAGATGTTCAAAGAAACGCTATTCATGCTGCAAGAATGCTCTTACTAAGCGTGCAATTTTAACAAAAAGTGCGATACGAACCTGCGTTATGCAGTCAAAACCAACCTGGCTGCTGCCTGTAGATCTTGCTACGAAATCCTTCATCAGACCTGACATGAGTTGTCCTCCTGTGCCACTGAGAAAGTCGCTCGCTGTATCCATAAAAGTTGATCGTCCATACTGTTCCGTCTCATTTTTTTCTTCGTCATGTCTATCAATACTGACGTGACGTTTAAACTGAACTGGTGGTTTTTCCCTGGGTAGAAGCGCGTTGGTATCGTAACCCTTTGGATACATTTTCTTGGCGTACTGTGGTGACGAGTACGCTCCGGAATGTTCTGAAGATACCAGGACAACACAAGAAAGCAGAAAGAATATCGCGACCATTTTCACAGAAGGGTGGATACTGACTGTAGGAACAGGTAGCGCGGACAATGTACCGATAGCATTTGCGATGGTCCCACCGAGACCGCAGTTTTATCTCTTCCCGTCCTTTTGTTTGTTGCACGCACGATGACATCTGCTAATGGTGCTATTGTTGGGTGCTTTTTAGTGCCACATACTTTTTTACCAACGACACCCCTCCAATTTAACAGGGAGCAGTAAATTTTAGATCATGTTTTCATTAAGATATCCAAATGTGATTAACGAATAGAAAGGTGAACATTCAACAAGGTTAATTGTATAATTATAAGATCAGAATAACTTGTAGAGTTGTACGTATATGGAACCTAAAGACGTATCCCTAATGAAAGTAAAATTATTATGTGGTGACAGTGACTCGGAGGCGGTGCTTTGCAGCGTGACGTTACCGATAACCTTAGCGGAACATATTTGTCTACTGTCGATCTCGGTTCCGTAACTATTACATCTGTTACATCTTAGTTATTTGAGTTACGCTTTTTGTTATGTTATGACGCAACGTATCATTAGGGTCAAATTCAAAGTATTACTAAAGAGCGGGTAAACCTGAATTTTGTAAAGTTTGCTTAAGTAAATGTTATACTAATGACATACGGCATTTTCCTTGGGGCTAATGCCGCCGATATCAATATAATTTTTGTCCTGCAGAAACGTGCGGTTAGGGCAATTTACAATCTGGGCCCCAGAATATCTTTGAGGGATACATTTAAGGAAATTAACATTCTTACACTAGCGTCACAGTACATTTATGAAAATGTAATTTATGTTAATAGTAATTTCTTCATGAAAAGTAATGACAGACAACATTAATACGACGAATGAAAATAAACTAGCTGTTCTCGATAATCAGACGACTATCGAGAACAGCTATCACAAAGTCACAAATTTATTTAAGGATAATTGTATACGCTTCTATAACAAGATTCCGATTGATGTACAAATTTTGCCATTCATTTCATAGGGTAGCCTCGATGTATGACTTCTGAAAAAAAAATTGTAAATGATAAACGTGTACAAATGTGTATTTACAACTTAGCAACCCTTAAGAGTTTCTTGCTCATTCTTCTCAGGTGAATCTGCCATACGAATGAGGGGTAGAGTTTAACCAATGTGACGATTTCAAGTGCAATATGGCTTACCAATGTAATAAAGATTATTTTGATCTTGATTTTTGATGTTTTGTTTAAAACGTTTGGGTTTGAATAGAATGAAGCTTCAAATTATTAAAAAATCATTTGGGATTTTGTAGCGGCTTGAGACTGCATTAAGATTATAATAACATTCTTTTTTTTTCATTTATTTACATGTCACAGTTACAGTACATTTTTAAATACATTTTAAGGTGTTATGTCGTTGTATAGGATCATGTGACGCCCTGTGAGGGCATGGCAAATTACAGAGGGGCATTTATAAATTATACTAACAAGTTTTTATCAACAATGTCAATGCATGCATTAAATTCGTTATGATCTTAATACGTACTTAAGCTATTAATCATTCAATATTAAAAAAATAAAAAAAATAAAAAATAATAAAAATTAACAATTTATAAAGATATCAACATTGTCATATTTATAGAACGAAAAGTATTTACAAAATAAAAATAGGTATGTAATAGTCTTAATATTCTTAAATAAATGTCAAAGGCAATTTCATAATATAATTTTAAATAAATTCCAGCAATGTCGTACTATTATTATTATTCCTCCAAGTATTTATCACAGAAATATTCATTTATATTGTAATAGCATTTTTTAATTAACAGCTTTTTCAATGTTTTATCAAAGGCAGTATCTTTTACCTGTCTCTAATGTTAATTGGTAGATTGTTGTACAATTTTATAGTCATATAATGTGGACTTGAGGCCACTAGTTGCAGATTGGTAAGGGTAGCTTCTAATTTGTGTAGATTTCGATTATTCCTTTTTACGGTTGTTATTGTCGCATAGAGATTTTTATGTTTTCTTACAAATTTACAAGACTCGAGAATGTATATTGAAGTTACAGTGAGAATGCCATGTTTTATAAAGAGAGGTTTGCATGATACCATTTGGTTGACGTTTGTTAATATTCTTATACACTTTTTTTGCAATGTGAAAATATCTTTAATATCTGAACTGTTACCCCACAAAATTATTCCGTACGAGATTATCGAATGAGCATGAGCATAGTATGCCGACAGAGAAGTTTCAAAATCGGTTACTTTTTTCAAATTTCTTAGAGCATAAATGAATGACGACAGTTTGCGGGCCAGTGTTTGTATATGTTGCTTCCAAGTGATAATGGAGTCGATTTCAATTCCCAATAAAGTTGCGGAACTAACAGTTTGTAAAGGTGTATTGTTGTGCTTATGTGATATTTCTAATTCGTTTTTTTGAAATGGTCGAAATTGTATTAGTTTTGTTGTATTTATATTTAATTGCAAATTATTCATTTGAAGCCAATGTGTCAATTTGTCAAGTATTAAACCTAGTTTTTCAGATAATTCAACTGTGTTGGAGCAAGAAGTTATGATAGATATGTCATCCGCAAAGAGAGTGCACTGATCTTTCAAAATGTTTGGGAGGTCATTTATGTATATTAAAAATAATGTACAACCTAGAACACTTCCTTGCGGTATAGAACCTTTGATAGGGATTGAATCAGATCTAATATTTTTTATTTCGTAGTCTTGTTTTTTGTACTGTTGACCTCCACTAGCTGCTGTCTATTACTAAGATAAGATTTAAATCAATCATGAGCGATTCCACGGATTCCTGTTGCGTAAAGTTTATTTAAAAGAATTTTATAATTGACTCTATCATAAGCCTTGCTCAAGTCAAGGAGCAGGCCGATTGCATATTTTCTATTATTTATAATATCTAGAATTTTTTGGAAATATTTATAGATAGCAAGAATAGTGGAACGGTTCTTTCTAAAACCGTTTTGACTATCGTCAAAAATTTTATATTTTTCATAAAAAGAAGTAAAACGGTTTGTCATTGCGGTTTCAAAAATGTTTGAAGATGTTGGTAGAAGAGCGATAGGGCGATAATTATTTGGATTAGTTTTATCTCCTTTCTTATGAATAGGTTTTATTAAAGATATTTTGAGTGCATCTGGAAATATACCTTCTTTAAAAGACTGATTTATTAATAATGTAAACGGAATGGTTAAGTATTCGTTACATTTTTTTATCAATTTAGGTGGAATACCGTCAATACCGAAAGTGTGTTTATTTTTTAACCTTTGTATGATGTGAAACACTTCCCTTGGCTCAACGGGTAGCAGAAAGAAAGTGTTTTCCACATTTTTCATTGTGGTTTGGACCTGAGGGGGCGGTACACGGTTATTATTTCCAATATCAGAAAAAAATGAGTTGAAAGTATTTTCATTATTCAGGATGCTGTTGCGGCTGCCGCGGTTCTGCAGCGCCTCGGGAATGTTCGCTGGTGCACAAGTAGATGGGTTTGCAGCAATTGTGCCAAAGCGAGTGGCCTCCTTAATGTGTAGAGTACGTGGCAGCGGTAACAGTCTCTTGGGTATAATTGCTGGTCGGGTGCATTAATTTTTTGAACACTGGACCAAACTACATGGTCTGTATTTACAATTACTAACATTAGTATGTAAGTTTGTATAGTTCACTAATCAATATGGATTGTATTTCAATTTGAAATCCATTTATGTGCTGTAAACTTAGCGCTAACAGTTAAACTAATATTATATTATATGATTATCAAACAGTTGTGTAAGTTACACATAAGTTACAGTATAACGATCTAGAAAAAAGGGAAAGGATTAAAATATCTGTTCCTAAGCCATTTTAGTATCGACTTGCGGGTTTAATAAAATTGGCAAATTGATGCAATTTTATTGTTTGTTGTACAGTTGCACTCGTTACACATAACGTTCATACTTTTAAAAAACGAATGCATCCACGAGGAAAATTGCCTCTTTGAAATTTCACTATAGTCGTCTAAGTATCACTTTCTCATTCAAAAGAACTCAACCTATTGTAGGAAAACATAGAGAGTGAAATTTATTCCTGTATTACAAATTCATCAACTGATAAGATATAAGCAAAGAAGTCCATAATTTCGAATTAATAGTACAAGGTACAAACGTTAGATTTAAAATCAATTCTATGCCGAGGTCTATAAGAACGACTCAAAGAACAATGTGTGAAGCTTACATACTTACCTACCTATTGTAAAAAACGATATTTATGTAGTGAGAAAGTTCTTTCATATTACAAATAATATAAATAAACCTGATATCGAGTTCTAAGGCTTTCGTGATTGCTACATATTGAAATGGAAACTATTTTTCGGATCAAAATCGCATATATTTGAGCCAGCCCTGCTCTGTAAAGGGCCCAAAACTTTGGTTTGTTTAGAAAAACAAACGCAATTTAGATCCGAAAGAATAGTCCCTTATCCAAAATAAAGTCGATTTCAATGTAACGGGTAATTTTAGGGTTACTTTTCTCTACCCAATGTCGGTGACAATTTTTATTATTCAAATATTCTAGAACTTTATCATAAAGTATTATTTAATATGCGAGTGCAGTAACCTAAAATATTATTTAATAATTCAAGATAATGTACTCGAATACTTAAATAATAAAAATTGTCACCGAAATCAGGTTCTCTACCTACGACTAACATGAAAATTACACAGGTGCATATTTGAAATAGAAAAAAAAGTGATTCCTGCCTACCTACTTTAAAATATTTTAAATTACGTTGGAACACCGCTACGATTAATTAAAAAAATTAGAATAAAGTATATAGTTTCTGTGGCAGTACATTATCATTTGTGTCCACAATTTTGTTTGTTGTTTCTCTCTTCGAAAACGCAAATGATTGTATTCGTCACGAAGTGCCATTGTGCTTAGCAACTGTCGCGTAGTGTCGACAAGTCTTTTAGAGCGTGAAAAATAATTCATTTCTTTACATAATACTGTTGCTCTAGTTGTTAGAGTTTATTTCAGAAGATT